GCCCATTTGCCGTTCTAGAATGTTGCTGACCGTTGCTGCCGGTGGGCAATCTTTTCAATGGTCAGACCATGTGTAAGCATTTTTTAGTACAAGTTCAAGTTTTGAGTTATATTAGATATTTAATTTAAAAATTTTTAGGTATAATTTTTTAAATTTAATATTTATTTAAATACTTAAAAATTTATATTTGATAATTAATTTAATAGATATCAGATAACTTATAGGCATATATATATATATGTATATTTCTCTTAATAAAAAAAATTTATATGAATTGTTATTATTATGCGTATCATATGTCTAATTTAAAGTTTTTTTATTTTTATGAGTTATTATTATTATTTATCTCTTTTTAGTTTACAAGTTTTACTTTACTCTGTTCTTATTTTTGTTTTTAAAAATTATTATTTTTTAAATATTAAATATAATAAATATGTGTAAAATTTTAATTATATAAATACATATAACAAATCAATTAAATAATTTTAAACTCTTATATTTATTACTTAATATAATATTTATAAATATATTATTTATATATCTATTACTTACCTAATTCTTTTACAATTTAAATATAATATTTATCTTAATAAATAAAAAACTTATAAATAAAAATTATACTCATACATAATACTCACCCCTATTCAAACCTCGATGAGGCAGTGGATGACGGAAGGTTGGGTGACGAACGTAGCGTTGACATCAGTCTTTATCGTGTTTTATTACAGGAAGAATGAAAGTGGCGATACAGTCATTGATGAAATAGAAAAGTTTGCATTGTTCACGTAATGGGCGTACGTAGCAGTAATATTTTGTTTTATGAGTGAGATTATTGCTGGATGGTATTATGTTCGGTTTCTAACTCCTCTTTCTACACCCATATTAAAAATATGTAATGATAACAATAAATAATTTTTTTCTATTAAAAAAAAAAGGGGGAAGTTTGCGTAAGCCATGATGCAAATGCGCGCCTGTCTTTTTTTTTAGCCCTTAATTTAATTCTTAAGCTATTATATGGATTTTTGATTTGATCTTGAAATTAAAATAATCTTTGATTTGATTTCTAAATTATTATACAAATTTTAATTTGACCCTTATTATTTATCAATTTGTTTCAAATTAGTCATTTCGTACAAAAAATAGTTGACTTGTCCTTTACTTAATGATGAAAAATAATAATTTAACAATAAAAAATAGTAGTATCTTAACGATAATGTGTCACGTTAATAACATGACACGTTAGTTGATTTTTGTATAGAAAAATCAACTTGGGGTAAATTGGTAAATAGTAAGATCAAATTAGGGGTCCGTACAATAGTTTAGAGGTCAAATTAAGAATTTTTTAGTTTAGGGACCAAATTGAAGGTTTATACAATAATTGAGGGACCGAATTCAATATTTAACCTTTTTGTCTTTTGTGAGCAGAAAATGTCGAATTTTCTTTGTCGGAGCTATACCATGAGCTTTCAATCCATGGCTCCCCGTTGAAGACGTTAACCGAACCGT